ACCTGTAGAAGAATGAAACTAGATCCTTTCACCTTGCACAAAAGTCAACTCCAAATGGATGGAAAAACCTTAATGTGAAACTGGATTAGAAGAAAATATTGGCAGTAACTTACAGGATATAGGTGTAGGAAAGGATTTTCTAAATCATACTGAAGTTGCTCAGGAATTAAGGTCAGCAATCAACAAATGGAACCTCATTAAACTAAAAAGCTTCTGTACAGCAAAAGAATCAAAAAATAAAAGAGAAAACCCAAAGAATTGGAAAAAAACTTCAGCAGTGACACATCTGACAGAGGTTAACATCCAGAATATATAAAGACCTCAAAAAACGAATCAAGAAACCAAATAGCCCAGTTAAAACATGGACTACAGATCTAAACAGAGTTCTCCAAAAGAAAAAATAAAGATGGCTAAGAAACATCTCAAAAAGTGTTCAACATTGTTAGTAGTTAGGGAATACAAATTAAAACCACCCTAAGGTATCACCTTACCCCAATCAGACTGGCTAGGATCAAGAGAACAAATGATACCAAATGCTGGTGAGGATGTGGAGAAAGGGGAACACTCATTCACTGCTGGTGGGATTGCAAACTCATGTAGCCTCTATGGAAAACAGTGTGGTGAACTCTTAAAAAACTAAAAATGAACCTACCATATGACCTGGTTACTCCACCCCTTGGCATTTACCCAAAGGTCTCATCCTACTGTAGAGACACTTGTACATCTATGTTTGTTGCTGCTCTTTTCACAATAGATGAGTGGTTAAAAAACTGTGGTATATTTATGCAATGGAGCTCTATTCAGCAGTAAAGAAAGATGAAATAATGAAACTTGCAGGTAAATGGATGGATCTAGAAACTGTTATACTAAGTGAAGTAACACAGACTCAGAAAAACAAACGATGTATGTTCTCCCTCATATGTGGCTCCTAGCACCAAATCCATTTAAATTCCAGGTCCTTTTAATAAGCTGATGCTATACAGCAGTCCCTTCTCCATGAAATAACTACCATCATCATGACTTCTGCTGAGCCTGATTACTAAACATAGTCACAACTGGGCTTGTTGATGGTTGTGCTCATTTGTTAAAGGAGTGCCAAGCAGGGTCACTGGACCCTCACCTGAGTATCTAGCCACTCTTCCCAGTAAACTAGTCCAGCCTTGGAAGACAAAAGAAAAATGAGGAAGAATCCAATAGAGGGATGTTTTGGAAGCCTTTGTCAATAAACTCCA